TTTTTCCTGTTATTTATAAAAAGCACAATTCATTAAGGGGACCAGCACCAAATCTCTGTGCTATTGCACTGCATACTGGGCACCAGTCACACAACAGTCTTCTACCATTACCCTCTGTCTCCTGTCACTGTGTCAATTTTGAATCCAACTTGTCAAGTTACCCTGGATCCCATGTGCTTTTAACCTAGTAGTGGTCATGGGTTTAGACAGTGGTGTCAAAGGAACCTTGTTGAGTTTCTGCAATGCCTTTGTTGGTAGTGCAGATTGCTACCAATGTGCATTGGTGATGAGTGAGTGAATGATGAAGGCAGTGTTTTGGGTGCCTATGCAGTTGGATGCTTTGTCCTGGATGGTGTCAAGCTTCTTGAGTGTTGTTGGAGCTGCGCCCATCCAGGCAAGTGGGGAATATTCCATCATACTCCTAACTTGGGTGGTGGGACAGACTTTGGGGAATCAGGAAGGAAACAACTCAACACTTTGCGATAAAGTTTGCTCAGTCATTTTGGAGGGCAGTTAAGAGTGAACCATTTTGTTGTGGATCTGGAGTGGCAGAGTTTAGGCTTGATGTGAATGGTAGATTTCATTCCTTAAATGGTATTAGAGTTTTTACAACAATCCAATAGTTTCAGGTTACCATTACGGTGAGTAAACCTTCATTCATGGTTACCTTTCCTTCTGTTGAAATGTCACAGTAAGTGAGGTTATTTTTGCTGAGACCACTAGCCTGTAGAACTCTGGCAGCAATGTCCCTGGACTGAGATACTTGGTTACCTCTGGCCTTCAGTAGATTTATTTAGATTTAGTACATTGTCCACTCTCACTGTACCTAGGTACAAGTGACAATGTTGCCACGTTCTACTACCATCTTGGATTACAGAATAAATTACTGACTAAATTATATAAATGGTAAAACACTGAATAAATTAATATTAAATTGCTATTACTAAAGCAGCTTCAATGGTTCATCATTCCTTTTTAGGTTTTAGCAAAGATCTGTAGCTTGGGTTGTGGATGAGGTTGTTGACTTTCTTGCCAAGCTGGCTGGTTATCGTACATACGTTTCATCACCATGCCAGGTAACATCATTAGTGAGGCCTTCGATGAAGCAATGTTGTTCTACTCTGCTTGGAATTTGTACTGTCTGGTCTGTTATCGTGAGTAGTGTCATTTTCAGTTTCGTTCTGTATGGATTTGTATATGGGGTCCAATTCTATATGTTTGTTGTTGTCAACAAACAAATAGAATTGGATCCTATTAGTATCTATTAATAGCACTTTGTGGGTGACTGAGAGTCAGTTGATGCTGTAGTATTTGGTCAGGCTGGCTGTGTGAACAGGACATACCTGGGTAATCCCTCATAATGTCAGGTAAATAGACAGTCATCAGCCAATGGCATAGCTGGTTTACAGTCTTATCTTTTCAGCACCAAAGCTTGTTAGGGTCCATAATCTTTACAGTGTCAAGTGTGCACTCAGTTATTTCTTGCTAAATTCCTTCCATTTGGGATCTGCCTACAGCATATGGACTGCAACAGTTTAAGAAGGCGGCTCACCACCACCTTCTCAAGGGCAACTAGGGATGGAAATAAACGCTGGGCGACACTCACATCCCACGAGTGAATTTAAAAAAGTCAAACAGGTCGAAGATTCGCATCCATCATTGAGGGAATTTTAGAATAAGGTTAAGGAGGATTGTCTGCACACCCTTTCTGGCTGAAAGTAATTGTAAATACTTGTTCCTTTTCTGATATGCTGGGCTCTACTGCAGGTGAGTATGACCATGTCCATTCATTCACTCTTCCTATCACTGATTTAATTGGCTTATGGTTTGAATGCAGCATGACTTCAAAGCTGTAAATTGATTCGCCAGTAGGGAGACTGTTGCTCAGCTTCTTCTGCTTACGGGTCTACATGGACCTTCAGTGCAGCTTCACATGGTTAGCATTTCATTCTTCAGAATTCCTACTGCTGCTATCTGCCTACAGTATTTGCTGAAGGGAGCATAAACTGACCTTTCTACCCAGTCCAATCTCTTCTTCACCCAGCTAAATGAAAGCACTCAAACATGAGGAGGACAAAGGAAGCGTTTCAGACACTCCTGGTTTCAGTCTTTATTGCAACTTCAGAGGTCAGGCGGCAGCTGTGGCCAGAATAAGCAAGTTAGTATCACCCTTCACCATAAAACGCATCGATGAAAAATGAACATGTTGAAAAATGACCAGTGCAAAGAGTGGGGGAGATGGAAAAAGTTTAAAAGATCATGGTTGTCCAAGAAGCAACAAATGATCTTATTTGACCCCTCCAAATCAGAATGCCACAATACCCTGTTTGATATGAACATTTTAAAAGTCGATAAGTCCATACTTATCATCCCATCAGCCTGTTCCAGAAATCATTGACCATCAAGGAGGAAATATATGGACTTCTTTGTGTGTGATATATAACTTCCTGTAAAACCTTCTCCATCTGGGTCTATCACTGTTATAAAACAATATACTGCTTGGTTCAATTCATACAATACTATGGGAGCTCTAATAATGTATGAGTACTTGAATTTTTTTTTGCATAATCAATTAGTTAATATCCTGCAGATGTTAAGGGCATTCTTGAATAGTACTATATTAGATGTACTAATGTCAGAAATTGAGGTTTACAGTGTTGATTGAAAGAGATACAGATGGCCAGACCTACTGAGGAAGTGAGGATAGGGCATAGCTAAATTAGAGACAAATATTGACAGAGGCAGAACAACCGTGAATAATAATTAAAAGGAAAAGATATCAATAGAGTTTAGCAGAAACAACATTGTATTAAAAAAAAATCAACCAATGAAGAATAAATACAGCAATACTGAATTGTAAATTTACATACACATGTTTATAAGCAAATACAGGATTTCTCAAGGGAATGTCATGAGCTTTGGAAATGGGTTTAAAAAAAAGGAAGGTAAAGAGAAAATATGAAATTAAAATAGATGGTAAAAAATTTACAAGTACATTGGTATAAAAGACAGTTGCCCATTTTAAGTGTTAAGCAATAAAACTAAAATGCTGGAGAAACTGAGCAGGTCTGGCAGCATCTGTAGCGAGAGAAACTGAGTTGATGTTGAGTCCTATATGACATTCCTTAACTGATAAACAAGATGAACTTAGCAAAATAATTTGAAATGGCCAAGATGCAGAATAGATTCTGTGGCTCAGTTTTAATTGAAGAGGCTAAACAAAAGAAATGACAGGCATTTTAAGTATATCAGGCTGACCAAATTGCAGGGTCCAGATGAATCATACCCATAGATCCTCAAAGAAAAACTCAGACAGAGAGTTAAAAAAGGCATTAGTATCGAAATATAAAAATCATTTGAAAAAGCAACAGTACGAGAGAGCTGGTGAAAAATAAATGCAATTTACATTTATTAAAAGGGCAGAATTAATTCAGAAAACTATGGTTAGGGGAATGGTGCAGTCACTGGGCTAGTAATCTAGAGACCAAGGTTAATACTTGGAGACACAGGTACAAATCCCACCTTGGTTGCTGGTGGAATTTAAATTCAATGAATAAATCTGGAATACAAAGCTAGCGCACAGGGACCATGACAACTGCCACTGATTGTGCAAAAACCCATCTGGTTCACTGTTGTCCTTCAGGGACAGAAATCTGCCATCCTTACCTGGTCTGACCTACACATGACTCCAGACCCACAGCCCAAGGTGGTCGACTCTTAACTGCTCTGACAGTTCCCAGCAAGCAACTCACTTCAAGGTCAATTATAAATAGGCCAAAATTGCTAGCAATACCTACATCCCATGAAAGAATAAAGACCAGTTCTTAATATCAATGAAAGGAAAACTACTAAAATCTTTGGCAAAATACAAATAGCAAAAGTATCAGTGGAGTTTATAAAAGTGCATTTGAGACAATTGCTTAGAGCAATATGTTCTAGAGCCAACTTGGGAGCAGGCTTTTCTAGATATGGTAATGAGCAATGAGACAGAGTTAATCAAAAACCTATGGTAAAGGAGCCTCTTTCAAGTGGCAATGATCATGTGATAGAATGTTATGTTCAGTTGGAAGGGAAGCAGGAATGTTAGTCTAGTGCTTTAAGCCTGAATAAAGCTAATTATGGGCTATAGTGAACTGTGAAACTAAATTAAAAGGCAGGGAATTAGAAACACAGTGGCAGACTTTCAGATGTATTTAATAATTTCCAATAGAGCATTATGCCAGTGAGAACATTTGAGGAAGCTACATCATTCATTGCTTAAAGGGGTAGACAGTAAATGAAGGTCAGATTGGGGAGTCTAGAACCAGGGGCACTATTTAATAAGGTGGATGTCATTTAAGATCAGGATCAGGAGATTTCTTTCAAAGGGTTGTGAATCTTTGGAATCCTCTACAGCAGTGAGCTGTGGAAACTCAGTAGAAATTAACAGATTTCTGATTACTAATGGTGTAAAGGGTTATGAGTGGTGTGTGTAAAAGGCACTTAGGCTTCCACCAGCCATGATTGTATTAGATGGCGGAGCATCCATGATGGGCCCAGTGGTCTACCCCATTCCTTTATTCAAGCCTTGTGCCCTTTCTGAACTCCAGGAGTTTGAGAAGCTGCAATAGTTTGAAATTTAGCATTCTTGTACTTGTCCTGATAAATGCAAAATGAAGACCTTCAGGAATATATTACTTCCCAGAAATATTCAAAAATCATGTTTTTAGTCCATTTTGCATGAATATTTAATATATTTTTAATGCTGATGGTTTGGAAAAAATATTTCCGAAAAGTTGTACTATTTTGTTAGTTGAGGTACAACAAACTATTTTGTAGTCTAATATTAAAATAATAAAAAATCTAATTACTATTATATGCTCAATAATATATTGATACATATAAATTTATGCCTTAAATTATCCTAGATAACAAAGTATTGTGCAGAAATTGTTGACCATAGTTAGCAGCAAAACAATTTGTTAAATATGCATTTTTAATATTGGTGTCACAGTAAAAGACAGTACTCAAAAGATCAGCATAAAGTCGTATTTACATACTTAGTGATGCTTTATCATGATCAAGGTAAGTATATTTTTGTGTAACAGATAATGCATACGGGACTACTAAAACACAAGAACAAAATTTTCAACAGATAAATTAGAGCTTGAAAAACTTTTTACAAAGGGTCTTTAAGCTGTGAGGAATGTTAATTAAAACCACAAGAATCCAATTCATTCATATTATACACCGAATACACATTAATAGGTTATTTTAAAAGATGCGCACACCTGCGACATTAATGCACTGGCAAATTTTTTTCAGTTCATGCTGTTATGACAAAAATTAATATTTTCAATATATGTTACATTCAATTTTTCAGAAAAATATTTAATGTCAAAATGTTTAAAAATAAAAGTACTAGTGTCAAACAGTTCTTGCATAATCTACCAAACATAACCTCTTACATGCATAATACTTAATTTTTAGTTTTGCATTTCTTATTCTTCACATTAAATCATTTTTCACATACCACATTATGGAACTAGAAATTTCAAGGCAATGATAAATATTTATTCCAGATGTTAAGCTACAAAAGAAAACCTTGGCAATGCCAGAATGGCTGTTGGTACCCTTGACCAATTCAAATACAAGTGTGCTGTTTGCACTCAATTTGATTTGGTCATCTTATTTGCATAATTCTGGTTAAATATTAATAGATTGTGAAGTCAAAAGCCACTTTATAAAGAATATGTGCGTCCTTTTAAACTTAAAGGGGCTAGACCAATTAAAGGTGAGTAACACAGAAACAACTCTAAAAACTGCGAGCCACAAAAGCCATCTCAACTTTTGCCAAAAGGCACAACTTGCTTAATCCTAAGGGAAAGAATTGAAACAAAGCCTAAGACAAAGCAATGATCAGATCAACATCTTACCCCATTACAATGCTGCTGAAATGGAGATGCTTCTACATCAGGACTATTTGAGTTGGACTCAAGAAGTCTTTACCAGTGAGTCTAATGTCAGAATGTGGCAGTAATAGATTACAAAGATTTTGAGCCAACAAAAATGTTGGGGAAGAAGTGGGGAGGGGCAGGTGATATGAATATCCATTCACCTAAACACACGAGACATGACTATTTTTGCATTACTTTTCAAGGTCAAAAATCACACGACACCAGGTTATAGTCTAACAGGTTTATTTGAAAACGCTAGCTTTCGGAGCTCTGCTCCTTCCTCAGGTGTAGTGTGGAAGAGGAAGTATACTCAAGCAGCAACCCTGTACATCTGTTTCATATTTAATATGTAAATGGAAAACCCATCTGGATGAGCTGACAACCACTTCATCAGTCATTACAATGAGACTCTAATTCTAGTAAAATGAATGAGGCAAATTGCTGAACAGCCAGGGTATAAAACTCCAGCAGTTGTATCCAGTGAATAGCAGTCAGATATATAGTCAGGAATACCACCTCTGGCATTTCCAAAATGCTACTTTGAATTAAATTGTGGGGCCAAAGGCATAAATTACTAATGTCAGATTAAGAACTGATAACAGGAGAAAAAGAATCTAATAGAAACATTTAAATGTTGAATGGACTTATGTGCATCGGCATAAGCAAAAACCCTGGCATCAGTTAGAAACAGTTCAAAATTGTGGTAGTTGAGGGGACTGGGAAGAGTTAAGGTTAGGTAACTCTAAATCTAACCCTATCTCAGGCAACTATTGAGTTTCTGAATGGATATCATCCACACCGGCAATCCTTTAGTGTTTTAAGTATCCACCAGGTTAAAAATTGAGACATGATTCTCCTTGCCATTTATTTGTCTCTGGATTGAAGATTAGGAGACCATCCTGAATGTCTTTGAGAGGACAACACAAGGATTTCCATTTAATCAGATATTCTTTGGATGTTCTGGTCCTATGACTCAGCTTTCTACATAGATTAGATTACAACAAATGATTAACTTGCAAAAAGATTTTAATGGAAAATACTTTTTACAAATGTAGAGTGTATTTGGTCTGAAGAGATTTCAAATTTTGCTTTTCACGTGCCATTGTAATATTGTTAAAATTTGAACACCAACATTTTTATTGTAATCTTTTTGTAGATTCCCATATGACTGTCATTAAAACTGAAATTCAGTTAACATTACAGAAAGATGACTGGAAATAGATAAAAATGAATGTAAAATGTACCAACACTATACACAAATCACTCTCTCCAAAAACAGGCTGACAGTTCTAACCAAGAGTCATTATTCATTCACATTTCCTATCTGTGTAAAGATACAGACCAATTGAATATAAAACACCCGTTTCAATGCTATGTTAATAATCTTCGTTATCAATACTGACATGACAAAAACATAATACCACAGCAGATATTGCAAATGATCAGCCACATTATGTTAAGAAAACTTCCTCACAGCTCTCATCGTCGTGCACTTTATATATTTATATATGCTACATTTCCCAGGCAGTACATCGAACAGTATTTGGCCTTCTAGTAGGTGCGTCACTATAAATGATGTGTCCACACTTTATCAAAAATATACTGGGTTAGAAAAATATACCATTTGTTTTGATTTGAGTTTAAATACAGTTACAGAGAAATGTTAATATTCAAGAAAGGAAAGAGTTTACAATATTTCTCATCACCCAAAAAACGTGCAGGGTTTTTTGTGGAAATGGTCTCTTCATAGCAGCTTGGTATTACATTGCAAATGAAAGGTGACCAGTGAATCACTAACTGGTATTTTTTTTAGTTGAAATAAAAATACTGTCACCTTGCAGAAACATCTGCCAAGCAGCAACCATCCTCAAGAATGAGAATGATCGGAATTAAACACTTTTGCTTCTTAAAGATGACTCAGGATTCAGTCCCCAGAGTGTCTGCTGAGTGGCAATGGCTAATCTCCTTCAAAAGTCCTTATTAAAAGCCTGCTTTATAAGTGCATCAGTTAACATTCCTACCGGAACACAATGCTCAGTCTACAGAACATTTTTTAAAAAATGCCTCTAAGGCACCACATACCCCTAGGGTCAATTCGCTGGATTCTTCCAATAAGAAGAAAAATGTTTACATACAAATGTCCTGGAATGCCTGAATGAGCCAGGTAACCCAAGATGGTCCATGTTACTTCTTTATCTAGAAGTGTGCTACCATCATAAAACAGTAATACAACTGTTGGGTCTGTAATGCTATTCTTCTATCCCAGAATGAAACACATTATTTCAGCATGTGGCATTCAGTTTGTTTTTGCTGAGTTCGCGTTCTAAATTTCCAATTAGTGTGTCAATACTTTCCTGAAGATCTTTTAGGTTCACCCTATGTTCCAGTGCTGGATTAATCTTCTGCATCCTTACATAGGCCTCATATGTCTGCTCTTTGGATTTGGGCTCTGCATGCAGTTCCATCATACAACTGGTCCTGTCTGCTGCTGTATTTTCCTCTTCACTTCCAGTATCTTCTGAAGGAACATCATCATAGTCTGCCTCTATGTTATCATCCTTTGCTCTAAGAAGGTAACTTTCACCACAGCTGCTCCAGTCTCCAGCATAGCGGTTACTAGGACTGTCAAGTCTGACCTGTCTGGGTCGTAGTACCCCAGTCATCTCAGCATTTGCCAAGTTTAGCACTGCAGGTCGTTGCCTCCTCCTCCTCACACAATTAATTGGCTCCAGTTCAGGAGATCCGCTGCTTTCTATATGATCCTTAGTCCCCTCATTTTGCACTGTAAGAGAAAAGTATGGGGGAATAACATGAAATATTGGTGCTTAGATGAACATGAGTTCCTCAGTTAGGAGATGCCTTTGCAAATTACTTCTTACACAGTTCAATTGCGATTATTTTCATGTACTTTAAACAGTCTAATTAATTTAGAATTATTTATTTTCAATGTTACAACTGGTTATAATCTTTTCAATTTACAGTGTGCACTTCATCTCTTGCACATAGCTTATCAACAATTCAGACGCTCTTAAAGAAGAAACTCCTTATAACAGTCACTAATATTGGTTAGCTGTACTGGTGCAACTAATGATAGAGTCTTTATCCTGTGAACTGGAAGGTCTGTCTTCAATATGGCACCTTCATGAATTAAAATATCCCTAGCTTGTGCACTGACCTTTATCTTCGAACCATTTTAAATTTGTGCATAGATATTCAGTTTTAAAGTAACTACAAAGCTGAAGAATTCTGCTGTAAAACTAAATTTAGTTGCAGCAAATACCATCATTAAGTCAACTATGATAATTCAGTTTCAAGTTCTAACCACTCCAAAAACATGCCAACCTGGATAACTATATCCTAGCACCAAGCATTATTATAATGCTGATCTAATTATGAAGATGGGAAAGAAGTTTTAAATTGCATTCATCCTTAAAATTGAAAGCATTCCACACCATTATCTAAATGTACAGTTAGACAGGAGCCAAAGTCAACATTGGTGGTTACATAGCACCACCTGGCTTTATTTTGGAAAAAGTGTTCATCAATAAGGTGATTATTATATTGTGTAACTTATTTACTGAAACATGTAATACTAAGGAAGCTTGTTCCCTGTAGGCAGGTTAATGTTGCTCACTTTACAGCATTGGAACTACTGACCTTGAACTTAAATATGCAGTCCAGGCACTGATTTTTAACATACACTTACCATTAGCACAGCAATTTTCCAATGATATTTTTTCAAATGCTGCAGTTTAATCCTGAAACTCTACAGTTTCATGGTTCACGTGTATTAATTCCAAAAACGTGCAAATCAGTCATGTTCGCACTACAGGACAATTTCTAATCAAGCAATCTTTGTAACAGTCTGATAACCAAAAGGAGCAGATTGCAAATGTAATGCAACAACATAAACCCAACATTGAATGTGTGCAATTTAATAAACAAAAAACAGTTATTTATTTGTTCAGAATAGAAGCACTACAAAATTTTTCACACATGGGGTTTGATGAGAAACGTGCTAGAAAGTTGTTAACTGCAGACAAAAGTTCTGTTTGACATGAATCTTAATGTTTTTCCAAAGTGCAAGAGTTAAAATTGAGGTAATTGTAGCAATTTTTTTTCAAAATTGTAAATCACACAAGATTTAGAGTTTATAAGAACAAATGTTTTTACTTGAACTGTCCATCAATGCAATGCTTTTAGACAAAAGGTAGTTAAGCTTGCTAGCCACATTGTAGGAGAACAAAGGAGAATGGTTCCTATTAAGTAATAAACTCCCAACTCAAGTCATTGACATATTCAAGATACTTACTTATCTGGGACAACAAATGTTTAAAGAGCATAGCTGCTTGATTTGAAAACATTACAAAAAGCACTCTACCAGCATTGGTTCTGAAGAAGGGTTACTGGACCTGAAACGTTGACTGATTTCTCTCCAAAGATGCTGCCAGACCTGCTGAGTTTTTCCAGCAATTTGATTTTGTTTCTACCAGCACCGATCTATATAAGCGAAACACAACAAAATCGACAGAATCCATTTCAAGTCGTGCTTGTCAAATGTATGCTTCTGTACAAATGGCCCAAGAAATTCATTAACGACCCCATTTCAACAAAAACACTTCAAAATCTCAAAAGAAGTGTCAAAAAACCACCGACTCCATTGTCCTTGCAAACTATGTGAATTCTAGCATTTTTCTTCTCTTAAGTCTTGATCCTCGTCTGCCAAAACTTGTCCCCATCTGCTGGAATGTTTGAAGTTATTTTACCCTATTTCTCCCCACTCCCTGCCACAGTATCAAGACAGCTCTTACAGGATGAAATCTCAGACTTTCATGTAACCTTGACAAAAAATCAACTTTCCTTCCTTACCCTTTCAATGTAATGGCACATCCAGTTCCTCACCCCTGACATCCAGCTGTGGGCTAACTGCAGTCAAAGGATCAGTAAAAAGTGGTTTCTCTTCAGGCTATCGCACTGTAGCGCTCCCCTCTCCCTGGCCACCTCCTCCTTCTCATCATCTACACGTTGTCCGTAAATGACATCATCTGAAAGCATTATGTAAGTTTTTAGAGTTACACTGACATCATCCAGCTCTGTATCATCAACACTTTCCTCTGACTGAGCTGTTACAAAATGATCAGAATGTCTACTGGAGGAGCAGAAATTTCCTCCAGCTTTATACTGCCACAACTGAAACCTACTATCAACTATATCCCCAACACTTATTTTGTTAACTTTTCTATATATCTTGCTTTTATATTTTTGACTAACTCTCTCATTCTAATTTTGCCCTCCTTATTAATCATTTAGTAATTATTTCTCATTTTATATTCTGTCCTGCTGCCTATCTTTGCAGAACACTACATGTCTTTCCTTTGAGTTTGATAATATCTTTGACATTTTTTTAGTCAGTCTCAGGTGGCAGGTACATCCTTTCAAATTTCTCTTATTTGTTTGAATATCCCCTTAAATGTTTTGCACTGCATCTGTGTTGACCTAGCCTTAACCTAAACTGCCAGGTAGCGTTCACTAGCTCTGATTTGCTACCCCTACTTAATTCAAAATAATTGTCTTGGACCAGCACTGCCCTCCCTTAAACTGTATGTAAAATTCAATCATATTATAGTTGTTTCTACCCAGACGCATTTCCGCTCCGAGGTCAGAAATTAATTCAATCTCTACACGAGATCTCTCGATGACAGAATCTTTACAATTTGACAGAAATCTATAACACTGAAAAGATAGCAGAGATTGATGAACACTGAAAAAATAGCAGAGATTGATGAAGTTAACAATACACAGAAGTTAAAGAATAATGCTGGAAAAACTCAGCAGGTCTCACAGTATGTGTGGGGAGAGTTAAGGTTTTAAGTTGGATATGACATCTTCAGAAAAGTGCACTAACCCCTGGGTACCGTCAGCGGCAACAATCATTCGCTAAGGAGTACGATTGTCACCTAGGAAATTCCGTGTCATTGGTCAGGGGTTCTGTGAGTCTTTCCATACTTCCTCTTGTTGACAGATGTACTCAAAGAATTGTGTCCCTTCATGCAGGAGTTTCCTCCAAGTCAGTTTCTTCTGAATGACGGTCTCGTACATATTGAGATCTATGTTGAACTTCTTGAGGGAAGGCTTCATGGAGTGTTTGAAATGGTTTCTTTGTCCTCTCATTTGAGTGCCTTCCTTAAGCTGGGAGAAGATTATTTGTTTTGGCAGTCAGGTCTTAGCATCTTCAGCACACGGTCTGCCCAGCAGAGTTGGTTTTGCATGATCACGGCCTCGATGCTGGTGCTACTGGCTCCTTTAAGGTTAGTAGACCCATCTTCCCAACTGATGCAGGGAATCCACCTCAAACAGCTTTGACAGTACTTCAAGGGCCTTAAGGTGGCGTATATATGTAGTCCAACTTTCAGAGCCATATGGTAGCATCAGAAGGATGACTCTCTTATACACATGGATCTTAGTATCAGCACACATGTAATGGTTGAAGACTCTCGTCCTTAGGCCTCTGAAGGCAGCGCTTGCAGATTGGATGAGGTGTTGTGTCTCTGCACTGATGTCAGTCTTAGGCATGAAGTAGCTTCCGAAGGCAGGAGAAATGCTCCACATTTGGGATGATTCCTCTGTTGGTCTTAATGGAGGGATGGACCGGAATATGCCCTGGGAAGGATTAGTAAAGGACTTGAATCTTTTTGAGTTGAGGCTGAGACCAATTCTTTGGTATGTATCTGCGAAGGCATTAAGCAAGGCTTCAAGCTTCTCTTCTGAGATCGTGGACATTGCCATCGCAGACTGAAGATCCTTCAGTGATGTCAGCATTGCTTTCTTCTTGGATTTTTTTGTCTGTGTTGTCACAGATGCCATCTTTCAGAAGAAATGTTAAACCAAGTCCCTACCCACTTGCTCAGGAGCACAGGGCCACTATTTATCTCTTAATCAACATCATAATCTTTAAATCAACATCACAAAAACAACAGACTATCTGGTCCTCATCATCCAGCTGTTTGTAGGTGTTTGCTGAAGGCAAATTAGCTGCCACAGTTTTGAATTATACCTTTTGAATAATGACTACACTTCAGAAAGATTGACTATAAAGCACTGAGATATACATTAGTTGAAGCCAGATGCAATTGTTTCTTTTTAAAAGCGTATGATCTTGATGCAACTTTCTGGCTCCAAATTCAATAATCCAAACACAACTTTATTCCATCTTGCACAGAATCCATAAACAATTTCTTGTATTTATACAGCACCTTTAATATATAATGTATCAAGATGTTTCATAAATGCTTTAACAAAATTTGATATTAAGCCACACAGACAGTAAGTTAAAAAAAAACCAAAGAGCTGCAGATGCTGGAAACCAAAAACAAAACCAGAAATTGCTGGTGAAACTCAGCAGTTTTGGCAACATCTGTGGAGAAAAGAACGAGTAATGTTTGGGTCCAGTGACCTTTCTTCAGAACTGTTCTGCTTTCTCTTCACAGATGCTGTCATTGTAATTTAATGGGATAATGGATTAGCTGCAATGCAGCTTGAATTTCAAATTGTCTGTGAAGAACTGACCGAAAAAAAACAAAATGGTTCCTCCCATCCCACAGATAAAAAGTAAGAGACAACAAGGTGCAGGGCTGGATGAACACAGCAGGCCAAGCAGCATCATAGGAGCTTTAGGCAGGCCAGGGATGTTAGACTTGGGCATTCAGTATTAACAAGGACTCCTTGCCAGACAAAACAGACAACAGCAGAGTAAGTAAATTTGCTTTTATTCTGCTCCAGCAT